ATGCACCAGATGCAAGTACTGTTCCGTGTCTACGAGGGCTGACTTGTGTGAGCATCTAATGAGCCGGGTACAGGATGCAGCAACTATAACACCATCTTTACCTTCAATCCCACAGATAAAAACTGACAGCCTGCACACAATGGAACTCCAGAAGAGCTAACACATTGTTTCTCTTAATAGTGACTGGCACACCTCTTTAATAAAATGGTTATTACCCTAAAGGAACCAACTTGAGTGTTCTTCAGCTTAACTATCTATACTGTAACTACAAGTGAAATCTACATAACAAACAATATACTACAGAAATAGTTAAGTCATTTTCTATCTATATTTCTGACAGTAAAAATTGTTGGACAGTGGCCTTATATCACCTCCTGATGGCACCAATGGTAATGAGAGAAACACTGATAAAAGATAATTACAGTTCAATCTACCTGTTACCTTATAAATGATATGGAGAAGATTTTACTGCAGATACATTCTAAATGGGAAGCAAATTGCCACACAGCATTTGACAGTCAAAAAATTAAATGGCATGCAAACATATATCCCACTAACGTATTCTATAAAATATCTAGTACAAGTTTTCCATCTCAAACTCTAACACTGTCCTGCTCTACTGTTATCACAAACTCTGTACTACCTGTTATATACATAGAACCTCTCTACCTCAGACTAACTAAAGGATTACAGCAGCAAACTTAGGTATTGTACTGTATACTGTATTAGATTTGGAAGTACTGTATAAAGTGGAAGCCCTCAGCCCCTCTCAACATTAAAACGTTTGTCCATTTACAGGAAAATAGAAGGGAAACAGAGCAGTAAGGCCTCATAAGTACCCTACAATCTGTACTTCATAAGGCAGATGGAGGGAAGCAGAAATGTGTGGGTGGTGTGAGGGACAATGTTCATCCACAGAGTACCAATTATATGCACACATACCCGCACACACACAAACTGTCCACATGCAGATACAAACAATCACAAAATAATTGATCAACTTGTACTACATTCAACTCCAGTATTGTACAAGTATAGGAGAAAATAACATACTGTGTACACTTCACAATCCCAGCTCTCTCTAATGCATGTATGGTAACTGATAAGCAGGTTGTGGAGAGGTGGGAGTGAAGGACTGTGCTCATGAAAAAACAAACAGGAACTATAAGCTAAGCTTCCTAAACTTCTATATTTTCTGGAATCTTTATGAGATGAACATTATCACAAATTACAATTCATGTCAGGAATAAAACAAAGTAAAAATTCCTCATTTAAAGAAATTTGCCAGGAACAAAATGTGTGTGTGTGTGTGTGTGTGGTGCATGTGTGTGATTTGGAGAATGTGTATATCTACATTAAAAAAATTTACAAAAGGAAAGTATATAAAAAAAGTATCTATAATCTGTTTGTGTATTTTTTTGCAGAAATGTATACACTACTGACTGATGACAGTACTGCAATCACCGTATAGTACTGTACTGTACTGTAAATGTGGCTACAACATTTTTGCTTTGCACTACAGAGGAGAAGTGTGCTGTGATTTGTGTTTGGTGGACTGAGGGCATACATAAAGGTCAGGTCAGGATAGGTCAGGTTATGAAAGACCATCTTGACAGTACAGCAAAGCGATCAAGTTCTGCCACAGCGAAGCACATGTGCAAATGGATCAAAATGTCCAAAAGTGGTTCAACAAGTGTTGCAGACACAGATCATTCAAGGAGGTCATTCACATTGACAACTGATGTCCAAACTGAGCAAGCACATGCAGTGTTACTCAGCAACAAGAGGGTAAAGGCCAAACAAGTTGAAAGACACCTTGAAGTAAGCCACAGTCCCACCTCTGCCCAGCATACTCCATAACAGGCATGAATTCCACAAGGTTTTAACAGGGAGGGTTTCAAAGCAAGTGAGGGACTAGCCCAAATACAACCACATGGATATCTGTACTTGCCCTTGGGTTTGGTATCATAATGTAGGGCATCAGTTTCTGACACATATCATCACTGGGAACAAGATGTCAGTACACCATTTTGTGTCAAAAAGCAAATAACACAACATGCAATGGAAACACATAACTTCTCCTCCAACAAAAGTCCGAATTCAGCCATCAGCCGGTATAGTTCACGAATACAATATTCTGTGATTTCCAAGGTCAAATCCTGACATACTACCAACAAAGTGGAGCACTGGTAACCAGTGCTAGGTACTGTATAGCAACATGCTGAGTAGCAATTTGAAGCTGCCAGCAATTTGAAAAAGCCTAGAGAGGAAGGATATCAGGAGATGTTGATTTGATGCAAGAGAAAGCCCGCCCTCATACCACTTGCATAACTTGCAGTTAAAGTTTGAGGTTCTCCATCACCCACCCTGACCTGATAAAAACTTTGAGAGGCTGCCATGTTGCCAAAAATGAAGAGGTAAAGTAGGCAATGCATGTTATACATGCTCGTGTTGAAAACTTGGATGATTGATTGTGGCAAAAAAACGAAACCTTTTGCAATCTTTTAACATATATATCAGAGAGAGAGGGAGACTGCTTCAAACGTATAAATAGTTACAGAAGTGGATATTATCATATTTTCCAATAGATGTGAATGACTGAGGTCTCATCTTGATGTGTCCCGTATATAATATACATTTCTTTATAAGATAAAGTATGCATTATTTAACTACATCAAAACATTAGTGCAATTCTTAATATATAATACAGTACTCTATCATGTTACTGTACACTAGTAATGTTCACCCTCAAAGCTACAGGAAAGCAATCAATGAAACAAACCTCAACTCCACTTGAAGGATTAGTGATAACCTCATAGGCTGACATTGCCAAAAGCTAAGCCCCCAAAGACATACATGTATACACAAGCACACGCACACACAAAAGTAAACACTCTTTAGTTCCATAAACATAAAATATAATCATGACAATTTATAGTTATAACTGGTGATTGAACCTGAACATTTAAATATAAAATATTAACAACAATTATTATCACATGCAGATTGACAACTACAGTCACGCAAATGACCAAACACACATGACACAAATGCATGCACAGTTTAATTGCACTATTTATAATATTAAGGCATATCTCTTAAAAGTGCTGTTTCATTACAACACTCATTATCCTGCACAGAATAATGAGTAAGGTATAGTGCCAGACCACACAATGATCTTCTCTCTGAGCCTTGTACTCGACCAACAAGAGTGACATAGTGTACACATATAACCCTTCAGTTAATCATCACCTGCTCCACAAGTTTTAAATACTTTCCTTTTAACTTCTTTTTCGTCTACAATGTCTACAAAAAGGTTTACAAGAGATAATGCTGGTAATGTGGCCAAGCAGTCAAGGAGAAGCATCAATATAGATGTAGAAATACTTGATAAAAGATGTGTGCAGGCATGTGAGGGCCAGGTTGATGTTGGTCTGGCTACATCAACCACTAGAACCATTCTCAGACAAAGGCTTCTGCTCAATCCACCACTTGATGAACACCAACCAAGACAACTCATTTAAGGAGTATTTTACTCTGTAAGACGGTCCTGCGGCTGCCAACCAGACCCACACCAAGGCTACTGAATGTGCTGGTCTGTGTAGTGTGTGAATTACTATAAAATGTTTTGATAAATTTACCTATAAATGCAGTACCATTATTAGTGCTACAACTGATATCCAAAGAAGCCCTCTCATCATGATCATGGGTAAGAAAGAGCACTGGTATGAATGCATCTCTATTGGAAACATGGTGAACTGACATCTTATTGACCTACAAATAACTCTCCAGGAATGTATCGAGCACCTTATATGGGACAACTTACTAACCCTATGTGACTACTGTGAGTACTAAATTAGGGTCACCTGTTAACAAACAAGGTGTAATTTCAAAATTGGCACAATGTTAAGCAACAATACAAAACTATTTGACTATTGAATATACCAACAATCACCTTTAATTCAATACTAAACTTTACAATCCATGTGATACAAACAAAGTACATAAATAGTAATAATCCCAGCATATACAGATGGCTAGACTTACGGTAATAAGCATTGACAGTCCTACAGTGAACAGAATATGAAACGTTGGAGTATGATTTCCCATGTGGTCAAGTGAGTTTCAAGGCAAATGAGTTCAAGAGTCAGACACTAATGACTTGAACTTTCAACATCTCTTGAGAAGCACCAAATCCAGATCAGAATCCAGAATTGGCTAAATAAGAAGTCTGCACTGCAACAAAACATTGCCCATATGGCTTGCATCCCCCCACCCCCACAGGCATTGGCAGCCTCTGTCTAAGTAGTGCCTGGCAGTGGTAATTTATCAACAGTCACTCATCACACTCCAAATATACACCATGCATATACAGTACATGCAAACATTCACTGAACACATACATACTGTACAAGACTTAGTAAGTGGTGTGTTGAAAGTTATAAACAGTTTTGCAATGTTCAAGGGGTGATCCTATAAGAATTAACCCTAATTATCAATGAATGTCACAATATGTAACTAAAGAGGGTTGGACTGTAACTTACCACCAGACAATATATCATCCAGGCAGCTACAGTCATACAGTGTTTCACAAGTAAGCAACAAACAACCCGTGTCTACCAGTGACAGAAACTGTGGGTCTTGGTCAATGAATGGGATGTGATGAGATTGTTTTATTATTAGGAAATGGCTACCAAACTTGCCTAATTTAGACTAGCCTAGCTCAACCTAGCCTAGCTTAACCTAATCTTACCTAGCCTAGCCTGCACCTAGAGGGCATTGTACAAGATTTCCTGAAACAATATTAGCTCTTGGGAAATGGGAAGGAGGGTAAGAATGGATGACATAAGAACACAAACAAATATCCCTACAGATCCAACATATGGGCGGAAAAATCTCTTACATCCCTTCAGTAAGAAGTTAATTTTTCTCATAATATCAGTAATTTGGAAGATGAATTCTACTAGACAACTGTGTATCTCTAGATGTAATAGTCTCACCTGATGAGTCGGTGTCATGCTCGGCGAAGTCTCTCGTGACTGTTCTTTGCTCGGTCCACTTGTTTCTGCCCGAGGTCCAGCAATGAGAGATGAAAACCAGTTCTGACTGTTAGCTTGATCCTTGCTCATAGCAGATGCAGGGAGGTCAACAGTAGCTGGGCGGAGAGGCAGCTGCTCGGCAACATATCGGCCCACATTCTGTGAGGGAAATTATAATCTAGTGAATCAACTCTCTATAACATTGTAGTGACTATGAGAGAATGTTAAAGATAATATTATCTTAAAGTTGTGCAGTGTAAGCCGAGCGTCTGAGTTATAAACCAAAAATATTACTGTAATACCAACTGCTACAGTATGATGCCACGATGCAGGTTATATACATCCTAACTTTCAATTACTTAAAACAGTACAGCACTTTACACACACTCACTATCTCTTTAAACTAATGTTGTACCACAGATAACACAGAGTAACAAACCAATATTACTAATCAATTCCTACTTACGCTATAGAAACATCTCTTCAGTCTACGTATGTTCGTAACAGATTCTAGTTCTCTAAAACATTTCCTACACTGGGGTCTTGTCTAAGCATGACATCATTAGTGTTCTCAATATGAACCTTCCTTGTGTTCTGCTTTACATCTACCTGGAGCTCTTGTACACAGTATGTCACCAAGCCTATAGGTTCCAATCCAGGCTTCAACTTGCAACACTGATGGCTGGTTTTATATAGAGGTATGGGACTATTTATCCTGCATCCCGGTATTCAGAACACTCCAAAAACCAACTTTATTCCAGAATGAGTTATTTAAAACGAGTGCCGAATAATTCCCTGGCCATGTGGAGAAATTTCCAACTGTTCCCCCACTTGTGAACTATGTTTTATGTTATGGCTATATTTCAACTCGTTATTTCAGGTAATTTTCTTCATCCAGAAAGTGCAAAAAGAAATAATTATCATAAGATATAAAGTTTTAAGTATCTACAGGTTTCCACCATGAAGCCAGGTGGCAAGCATGTGGAGGTAAGAGGGTCCATGGCGCGGAGCACAGTTGCTAGGGATGGCGCCGCATTGCTAGGGCAATCGTCAGTGGAGACTGGTGCAGTTTGTACAGTAACTTGTATTGTATAAATTTTTCTCTTTTTATGCTTATAATTTTAAGATTTAATGTTACAGAGTACAGTTAAAGCTACTTTAGGGGTGAATCTAGTGATCTGAACAGAGGCTTTACAGCCAGTCACAAAGGTTTTACTGTACATTTTAGGACTGGCGCACCAGATTCTGGGAAAAACCATTATCCAATAACTTCCAGAGCCCAAACCTGGTGGATAAATAGTCCCATACAATAAAACATCTCTCGTACCATCTGACAACCTTCAAATGGGAAAGTGGATGTAACATTTCCCAGAGGGGATTTAGTGTCAAAATTACTCCAGCCACCCCCCACCATATAGGAAGATAAAAGGTCAAGATGGCAACATAAACTGGTCCTATGATATAGTACGTCTCTGTGGTCAAGGTGCTTTAAGTGGAGTCAAGTTGGTAATTGGTAATTTTTGTGTGGGTAAATACTTGTAGCAAATTCATTACATTTTGCCATCAAAATTCTCCCTCAAAAAATGAATTTCTTCATTTATTGGGTAGCTACCAGTATTATAAACTACAGTACTCTATTTTTCTATGGTCTCACCTTTCATGATGATGAGAAAGAGCTATGACAGTTAACAGGGAAAAAATTCTAATACTAACATCTCCTTCAGTATGGTTAATGAGTTTCTAAAAAAAAAAAAAAAAGTCACATTAAACAGGCAGACCCTAATTTATGAGTTGCATTAATGAAGAATCTCTTGTAAATTGATTTTCCAGAAACTTGTGTACATTTTCTCATCGACTCCCATTATATAATTAGAGATAAGTTCTCTATGGGAGGGATTCAAGCAAGGAGGTACAGTATCAGCAAATCAGTACAAAATTTTAAGAATGCCAGCCAGCACTCTTGCCTGGCCACTACCAAATCCCAAGATCCAGGTGTTTGATGCACAGTGTTGTCAGCAGTCTCCACAACTCCACTTCCTAATTCCACACTTTCCTTTACAACTTTACACCTTTTTTGTACATAACTAGTATATGAAATTGAAGAATACAAAATAATTTCCTTCCACTTAATTTTCCACATACAGTTTTATATGAGAGTAAATGAGGAGAAGTTGTACAATCCAGCAACTGGCTGAGTGACTGTGTGTGGTGTGAGTGATGAGTCTACTTGTCCTCATGTGAGTTTAAGAAGTAAGTTCTGTGGTGACTGTAGGAAAATAATAACACACTGAAAGCTTATTGGTAGAAAAAAAGCCAGCAACATTATCTTAGCATATTTTCATTGTTTTCATAACTTTGGGGTTTTCGATCCTATGTCAATACGAGGGTCAATTTTTTTCTCAATTATGAATGTTCGTAAATAAAACCCTTGTAAATTAGGGTCTTCCAGTAATTTTGGCAGCAACTGAGAAACTGTCTGAAACTGGCAGGAATAATTCAGGAGGCAAAATAAGCATGGTAATAGATGAGATAAAATTAGGTTGACGAATATTCTGTAATGTATCTCAGTAATGCTGCCAGTGTGCCAAAAGTTACCCTTAGTTTAATGTTTATTACTTGGGACTACAGTATTGTATTTAAGGCCATACTTACAGGTACAGTAAAGGCAAGTGTAGTGTGTGATGTCTACAGATCAAAAGCCAATTGGGAGCTGAAGTACAGTCTGGTGGGGGGTGGAGAGAGGTGATTATAGGATGGGGAGTAAGCGTAAGTTGGTTCTTGGAAGGAATCAAATATTCAAGGGCTGTATGGCCACTGTGCTGAACTGCATATAAGAGTGTTCATGCTGTGTGTAAAAAAAAACTAGTCCCAATTAAATGACTGTGTACAAGTAAAACCATGCAAACTGAGGGTCTGTTGTATTGTACTACTGTTGTATAAAGTATAAAAAATTAAATCCATAAAAAAAAAAAAAACACAGGAAAATCAATCTAATATGAGATACTGTACTACAATAACCTACTTGTCTTTCCTTACTCCTCACTTTTTTCTGGTTGGTTGGATCCAAAGCTTTGCAACACCTATCATATATATTTTCTGTCTCTAGTGTGTTCCCAAACTGTAAAACACTGCCTATCCCGAATAATTTTTGTGGAATGGGTTGTAATGTCGTCTGTGTCTGCTGGATCACTGGAGTAAGTCTGTCACCTGTTTTGTACCACTCCCCAGGATTCACTACCGACATAGTCTCCTTACACTCAAGAGTTAACCACGGTTCATACTGAAAAAAAATAAAAAAGTGCTCCTAAAATATTTCTTATATTTTAATTAGTATCAAACAGAATCATTCCTGATTTGATATGCAGGAATTAAGTAAAGGTAGAATTTCCCCTTAGTATTTTTGTTACTTCTCGGAACTACCTAATGATGATGCTCTAAACATAATAAAATCACAGCGTTTGTTACTGTATATCAAAGTACCATGAACAAATGCTATAAAAACAAACACAAACAAACGATGGAGTCTGAAATCTTATTATATGGCTGATGGGTAGAGGTAAGTGACGTGTGAGGTCATCTGCCTGAATACCCTGGCAGAGGCTGGCTTGTTAACTGGGTACACTGTGCAATATATGCATTCCAAGACAGGTACACTGGCATTCAGAATCAGTGCAAATACAGTAAACAGCCAACTGGTCATTCAAACCAGGGCCATGAGACAAACTTTAACCCTGACCCAAATAAAGAAGATGAGCTGCACTAAGGAGCCTTCAGATGGGTGGTCACACAGGTCACTTAATGAACGACTTGAAGGCCATAAAATATCATTATACTGTGCCCAAGTTAATGTTTTCCCGACAGATGAGTTAACCCATAATCCACACAATAAATCTCTTATAGGTTTTTATATGTGGGCTTGTTCTAGACCCTCCATATAGAATACCTTCATGTGAAATAATCTGTACAGTACACACAATACCTCAATACACTGTACTGTACTGTATCATGACACAAAAACTTCCCTAAGCATTTTTGTCAATGACTACCTTCATATCTTACTGTCTTAAATTACACTAACTAAAGGTTTGATTTTCCAGCCAATAGAATCTTAACAAGTATAGCTGAATGCAAATCAACTGTATTGTACTGGAATAAATTATTTATTTTGGATAAGTTAATCTTGTAGTTACTGTACATTTCTATAATATTCCCCTACAAGTCCTGATGAAAATAAAAAAGTATTGTATTATTCGCAGATACAGCACAAGCAAGAGTACCCATGCAGAGCAAAATGATGACTATTTCTTAATAAAAAAGGAAGTACTGTAATTAGTATCGAAATATTATTGATAAACACAAAATGTTAATAAGATTGACGGTGGTGAAGGGTACGACAGACTTCTACACTGTGCACGTGAGCAAAATAAAAAGGAAGAGTTCCAATATATATTTCTTAACTCATATACTTGAAGGATGCTGAATTAGATTAAAAATCCTCATGGCTTATTTCTTAGATAGCTACAGTATACAGTAGTCCATGCTTCTAAAAATGTAGTCTAGCATAGCACCGGGTTAATAGTGAATCATCAATGTAACAGAAATGTATACTTACCCAGCGGAAGAATCAAACACAGGTACAGTATCCAAAAGCCATAACTGACAAAACAGAACCGAGAGAAGCATCAGCAAGAGCCGTTAACCTTTCCAGCGCAAAATATTAACGATACAGCTGACAGCACTGTGGTAGAGCCTAGGGTTTGATGAAATATGACCACAGTACACCCCAGTAAAATAGAACTGCCAATCCCCCGAGCTCAAATTAAACATGGCTGTCAAAGCCTCCATTATGGACATTTTTAATTTTCTCCCATTAATACGAATTTTATGTTATCTGGACCACTTTCAGCAGTGGTTATGTCATGCTAACCAAACCTTTGTATTGGGCGATGTGTTAATAATTTATTAACTATTGTATTAGTAAAGTCTCTTAAAAATTATTGAGACTAATAGTGTGACAGGAGGCAGAAGAGCACAAGGTAGTTACTGTACAAAAAAGTCAGCTGGTGATGGAGGGACTGACCAAGTGATCCAGGATGGTACAGTAAACTCATACTGTAATTCGATATAACCCTGAATGGCAGTAATATATTCAACTGTAA